AGCAGAGGCTCTGAAAGGGGCTGCTGCAGCACAGTCTCATATCGGATTACGCGTAATCTGACATGAGACTGTGCTGCAGCAGCCCCTTTAGCGCCTGTGCTAACCCCCCCCCCCTTTACCCATCATGTTACACACTGCACACCAAGCAAAAATAGACACAACTACCCACCTCATCACTCCAAACTTTTGAAAAACCACCACATCACTTCAAAACCAAGCAACAGACTTTGGTAATCCAAGACCCCCCAGGCCAAATATTTGACCCCATCCCCACCAAAAAAAAACTATAATATTTTCGCTTTTTTTTTTGGGTTTCTGACCAAGTTTTTGACTTTTTTTTTGATTTTTTTTTTGACTTTTTTTGACTTTTTTTTGACTTTTTTTTGACTTTTTTTTCAACTTTTTTGACTTTTTTTTTCAACTTTTTGGACTGTTTTTTTGGACTTTTTGGCCAATTTTTTTTCAACTTTTTGGGTGATTTGTTTTGACTTTTTGACCAATTTTTTTGACTTTTTACTGACTTTTTTTTGACTTTTTTTTTTGGTTTTTTTTGGGTTTCTGACCAAGTTTTTGACTTTTTTTTTATTTTGATTTTTTACTTTTTTTTACTTTTTTTTACTTTTTTTTTACTTTTTTTTTACTTTTTTTTTACTTTTTGTTTGACTTTTTGGACTTTTTTCAACTTTTTGGACCGTTTTTTTGGACTTCTTGCCAATTTTTTTGGACTTTTTGGGTGATTTTTTTTTTGACTTTTTACTGACTTTTTTTTGAATTTTTGGCCAACACAGATCATGTCATTTAAGGGCTTCACTCATCAGGAGGATCCCAACCCTCTGACCAATCAACAAAAAACCAGCTATTTAGCTATCTGATCAGTACTATGGTCTTGCAAGCCAGTCTGGGCACAGGCCCAAGTTGGGCAAAAAAGAGGTCAAGCGGGCTTGGCCAATCCCAAACCCCGCGTGCCCCCTCTAAACCCAACCCTTGCTTGGCACCTCCCAAAGTTGGAGGGGGTCAGGCCCAAGTCATGCTTGGTCGAGCCCAAGCAAGTGTGCCACCTGCACCAAAGCTGACCTCACTGATCCACACTTGACCGGGCCCCAAGTCTGCCACCTGCACTCTGGTGAGCCCAGAGCTTGGGTTCGGCCAACCCAGACTTGGGCTAGTGCCAAGTTTCAGTCCCTGCACAACCTACCAAATCAAGCCCCCTGGGCACACACCCAAGCCCCATTGGCACTCAGCCACACAGGTCTTGGGCCTGTGTCCAGACTGGCTTGCAAGACCATACTTCCTGGTCACTGTTCCACAATCTTTTAGTGGGAATACCAGGTATACATAGCTACTTGACCCAGCAGGTTTGGACTTGTCATGACACTATTTAAAATGAGTGATTGATCAAAATCAAATTAATCACTTCATTCCTTCCCCCTAAAAAATGAATTATTTGCAATATAAATTTGAATCTGATTTATAATTCTGATTAAGGTGTACACTATTAGTGTGATAAACATATAATTGGCATCTGTTATTGATGCATTTAGAAAGAGAAATCACAAACTTGAATATGGTTGAATTTCTGTGATGGTCTAAATGTATTTCTACAGGGGCTACGAAACCAAAAAATAAGAGCTTCCCTTGATCTGATTGTGAATCAAATCTGTAACATTTGTTCCAAAAAAACTGCTGAGGCCATGAAAATTGTACTCAATTAGCAGGTTTTATTTTTTTATTTGAATCAGCAGCCTTATCTTTGGGGGGAAACTAGGTGTAAGCAAAGGGCAATTTTAGAGGACATTCATTTTCTTTTCTGGGAAATTAGTAGTAAATTCTGGGTAAAATCTAGTGACTTTCTCGTGAGTGCCATTTTCTATCATGATCCTTTTAGTGATTTTTACAAAAAAATTCAAATCTTCCAGGGTGACTTATTTGTGATTTGCAGTCACTGGAAAGCCAGTGCCCTGAAATTTCCCCTGGTGCCTGAATGGATCAGTTGAAACCAGAGCCTGGTGTTGATCTTCATCACCCACCTCCATCACTTCGATACCAACCAATCAAAAGGCACGGTAACGAGCGGGTCCTACACAGACCTCAAACAGACCAGCGAGAGCAGTCCCCAAATCCCATGATTTCTTCAAATGGTGATACTACCCTAGAAGAATACCTCGATTTTTGTCACTTCCCACGCGACCTCTGCTTACCAGCCCTTCAAGATTTTTGTGTTGAACAATTTGTCAACAACTACCAGCTCTTTGCGACCGACCTCGTTGTGAACTCACTATTGAACGACTACCACTTTCCTGTTGGACTAGTTGCAAGCCTTTGCGAACATGTCCCCCGTTTTGCTGCACACCTCCGTGCAAACCGAAGGAACTCTGCTAGAGCTCAATCAGAGAATGATGAGGATAGTGATTAGAATCATCATACTCTAGACATCTCAAATACAAAACACAATGTTTCATCACCTTGATTCATGAGATTATACACACACAATCTTGCCCGAATACCAAAATGAATACTTTCTTATCTTGAATCCTTGTGAAATGTTATCTTGCTCCAATACAAAGAAAAATCTTGTCTTGATTCTTAAAATACATCTACTGTTTCCTCACACAAGATACATGACTTGTATGTGAATTTTATATGAAAATTTTAACATGAGAGTTCTGAACCACAACTAGACAACATAACCACTGCCAATATATTCTTGATTGCATAATTGGTCATCCATGACAGCTGCAACAGTGTGGTAAAGAAATGAAACTTTATCTTCAGCCATTGCTAAACCATTGGTGCGACGGAGATGCTTTTTCAATACTGAAAAACACATCTCAATGGGATTCAGCTCCGGCCAATAGGGAGGCAAATAAATCAATTGAACACCTATTAAAGAATTCAAAATTAGGAGATTAATCAAGAAGTAAGACAATAAATAATAAGACAAACCATGCTCATTGCACAATTGCTGCACATTACCCCCATGATGAACCGAGCAATTGTCAATGATCAAAACTGAATTGCTATCTGGAAAGCGATTCATCCTAGGCAGCTGGAAAGATTGTGGTTGTCATTCAACATGAAATTTTGTGGTTAGGCCATTGATTACTCACAAGTGTATACTTCAAAAACAATTCAAAGTCAGGACGCTTGAAAGAATTTTCCTTAATATCGATACCGAGGACTCCATCAATTGAAATACCAGGGAGGATAGAATATCGCTTGGTGTTAGAATGGTTTGTTATCTGGTTGCTCCTTTGGCCATGAGGAGCACGACCATGAGTTCGAACAAGGCTACGTTGATGTATTGAAGATTCATCTGTTTGCATTGTTAATTTTGATCAAAACCCTTCTCAGATACAATTCTTCAAAAATTGTATGTTCATGTCAAAAAAGAGACTAACCTGCAAAGACAAGGAAGTTTGCTGGGATCCCTACCACTTGAGCAATGTAATTTGACATTCGAAGGTCTGAGCGGTTTACATTCACTGAGTGATTTCGTTTTAAGCTGATCTTCATTCTCTCCCGGAGAGTTTGATCGATGGTTGAAATGCAAGTTAGGATGTTGTGCTGCTCGTACAGCCATGCTTGGATCTCGTCTAGGTAGGCAGTTGGGTTTTCTTGGAGGTGCTCCCGGAGATTCTCTTGGATATCTTCTGGTATTTTCAATCTTGGTCCAAATGGCTGGTACTCGTCAGGGTCTCGGATAACACAGCCAGTCTTATCGAAAAGCTCCGACCATTGGTAAATTGAACTGAGAGAAAAACTGATGTGGAGGATTTTCTTGATGTCATCAGGGTTCATCTTTTGTTTCCATAATTCGACCGCGAGCAGTTTTGCGTAAGGGTTGATGTAGCGTCGTGGCATGACTTTTCTCTTTTCTGGTGATCTGACAGGATGCGATTGCAAACGATGGCAATCTACAGCAATCACTTATCAGGGACACAAGGGCCCCGTAGGTCCCCAACTGGAGAATCCACAACTGTGTGTTGCCTATCTGCCAACTCAAAACAAACTCTACACTACCTTAGCAGGGATTCACCAAAATCGGTGAGAGTCATTCTCATTCGATTTTGGACCGACTGTACATGTAATAAAAGGAATCTTCTAAGAGTTACTAGGATTTACGTAGGAGGGGGGAAATCATCAAATGTGGCGGGGATTTGTTGGAAGGTCATTCAGGTCATTCGGAGAGTTTCTTTAATCTTGGCTATGGCCGCTTGGATGTCGGCTATATTGGATTGGAGTTCCAGAAAGATGCCATCAGCGGATTTGCGGTCCTTGAGGATGAGGTCCTCGAGGGCCTTCTTGGTGCGGGTTTTGGACTCAAGGATGAGGTTGTTGACTCGAGCTTCGCTACCTCTCAGGAGTTGGTTCATGTCCTCCTTTATTTCAGTCGCCATTCTGTTGAGGAGTACCTTCACGCCAGCCTGGACATCTTGTATTAAGGCTTGTGCTGAACCAATCAGGTTTCGAATGGGTAAGTTCTACAGCAACATTGGTTGAAAAGTATGCATTGGAGCAACTCACGGCCCCCGTTCACAATCTCTTCTGTGATACGATGTTGGTTAGTGAGTGCACTGGCAAAGTTTGTGTCAAGTTCGGGGTCACTTTGATGGTCTGGAACAAAAAGCAGGGATTAGAACAAATTGACGGGGAGAACACATCAATAAAAGAAAGAAGCGACTAACTGATGGCTCTCATCCTAGTGAGCTTGTCTACAAAGGTGTGGTAGCAGATCAGGTCGTCGGTGGTCAAAGGGTGAGATGGGGGCTGAGGATGGCTCATGGTTCGGAACAGCCTCAGAGCCATGATGGAGGTCGGGAGTATGTAATTTGTTTGAAGGGACGGTTTCCAATTTGGGAAAAGATTGTTCTGAACAGTTTGGGAAAGTGGAAACACGTATTCTAACAAGCACTATGTATGGGCTCTAAGGATGAGAAACCTTTGGAAAGAAAGTGTTTGGTGAGTTACAATATTAAACCAACTCTTTGCATTATCAGGCAGCTTTTATATGCCAGTACTGGCAAGCTTTGTTGATCTCCCACTATGGCACAAGCAGGCCAGCTACACATAGCGGTATGATCGGAACAAAGCTCATGAGCACCGGTGCAAGTCTACTTATTGCATTAAATGCAACAAATGAAATAACAGAGAGGGATACGGTGGACCTGGACCGACACCAGTTGTGCCACAAAAGACAAGGGCCAGGTCTGTTTCAAAATATGTAAACTAGGTACAGACTGCAGTACTTTGGTACTGCAGTTGGTACACATTTCGTGAATTTCCGCTCTGGGTGTCCCCTGATCCCAACGAGGCCCAGGGTCCCATGGAGTATTAGACTGACACCAGGCCTGGCACAGCCTAGGCTTGTTTGATTTTTTTTCTTTAAAAGTGCATTTTTTTGCATTCAGTTGTGAGAATACGGCTTTCAGGATGAGCTATACTCACTCCGAGGTTGACCTGGTGCTCGCGCCATTGACTCCTTGTCAATAACAAGCTGCTTGATTGTATTAAGTTTTTGAGTTTGGGACAAGAGCTGGGGGGATCGTGGTCTATCGTTGTCAGTGTCGCTTCAAGAGTCTCTAGTCACGTTTGCAAGCTATGTTCGCAAGTTCATGCAAACGGCTGTAACTTCAGAAATACAAAATTTACTAATGAAGCATGTCAGGAAATTATTACAGATGGTCAAAGGTTATCCGTCGCGGATACCCGTTATCCGCTGGCGGATACCCGCCAGTGCCAACGGATACCCGCCAACGGGTGCGGATGGCCCCTTTTCCGCAAAAGGTCGGCGGGTATCCAGGTATCCCAAAGGATACCCGCGGCCGGAAGGGGAGATGGCAGACCCTTCCAGCCATCGAGGTACAAGTACCTCGCCAGCTGGAAGGAGACCCTTCCAGCCATCGAGGTACAAGTACCTCGCCAGCTGGAAGGAGACCCTTCCAGCCGGCCCTTTAGAGGGCGGGTATCCGAGGATACCCGCTGCGGCCGACGGATACACGCCAGCGGGTGCGGATGCTCAGATGGCCGGAAAAAGCAGCCGGATATCCGCATCCGCGCGTCTATCCGGATGCCAATCGACCATCTCTAGAAATTTTCAGGGCACCATCCTGATCATGTCCTTGCACAAGCTCAAGACTAGCAAAGAAAAGAAACACCATAAAAAAATCAACGTAGGATGTCTTCAAGAGCCATCACCCTGCAAACCCTTCATGATTACAAGACTTGTTTACTGTCGGAATACAATATTTGGGTATCAAGCAGGAGGCTGCACAGTGCTGTGTGGGCTGGTTGGCGTCTGACTCTTGAAGAGCCTGTAATTTATACCTTGCCACAAAACTGGATCTGAGTCTGCAACTTGCAGGGACAATGACTGCGAGGGCTGGCATTGGGACAATGAGACATCCTTCAGCATCCAATGGTCAAGTACAACAGATGTTGCACGGTAAAACTTGCTTGAGAACCTCGGAAAGCGCTGCCCTTGCTTGGTCTCCGGCCGGAGTCGTACCTTCTGTCTAGACATGTATGTCTAGCTTAACAAATCCCCTTGACAGAGGGCTGGAGGCAACTCGCGAAGCAAGCCTCTGAAAGAGGGGCTTATGAGTGAAGTCAACTTCTGGCCTGGAAGCTGGTACAGTTTGTGGCTTTCCATTGCTATTTTCATCTATACTGTCCATTACTCCTGGCCCATCCAACCAAAAGGGCTGCGGCTAACTTTGTCACATAGGTGAGCATGTGGCCCACTGGCCCGTAATTTTTTTTTTCTAATATTTGTTGTGATCACAAATCCATCCATTGGATAGAAAGTGAGTGATGCAAATCCTGCAAGAAAAAAGTTTATTTCATAATATGTGGTAAAAAGCATAGTATGTCCCTTACAGATGTCGAGTGAAGCAACGGTGCCACAGATACGAGACATGTATTTGTATCGGATCGTATCGTATTTATTTTGAGCCTGATAACGGTATCAGTATTTCCTTGGTTGGTGAAAAAATACATTGTATCGGATTTGGATTTAAAAATGAAAAAAAAAATTGTCTTCGTTTTTTTCGTTTTTTCTTCAATACAGCCAAATATCTTATGTATCAAATACGGTTTTGGTGGGATCAGTCATCTGAGACGATACAGAATACATTTCTCACTTTTCAAATACGATACATGTATATGTCTCAGGAAAGTGAGACAACAAAAATCCGGTATTTTTGGGTATTCCAATTCTGAGACGATACAGATAAACGCCTGATACCGTATCGTATCGTCTCTGTGGCACCGTTGAGTGAAGCCTTTAGTTGATTCTGTACAGGAGTTGTAAGTGCCACAAAGCTGTAATTTATAACTGTTGTATGTGATAATGGCCTCATGTAAAGGCTTATACAGCCTTTGACCACACATAATCATCAAAAAGCATAGTATGTTAGACTATGCGGTAATTCTGAGGAAGTTGTTTGAGGGCCTTCTTGGACCTGGAAGCAAAAGGGCCATCTTCAATGGCCAGTGGCACCCAGAACTCTGATTTAACATCAAGAAAAAGAGCTGATA